CACAATGTCTATAGGCTACACTACATGTTCCTTTTGGCAGACCAGAACATATCTTTGGAACTGAATTATGCTCTTGAGTTCTGTCTCTTCTGTGTGACAAATCACTGATCCCAATCCAACCAAGAGGAGTCAATGCCTGCTTTACAACAATGCTGCCAGGACTTAGTGGGCAGACAGCAGTGTGGTTTAGGGCATGCAGGCCAGTGTTTTGGCCTTCAGTAGAACTATTCAGGCAAGCAATTTTTTTTTTCTTTTTTTTTTAAAAGAATCGGAGGGCTCCCTGTTCAGAGGGTCTGCTCTGCTCTCACAGGGTGTGTGAAAGGACCTGTGTTACAGCTGCTGATTCAGTACCTATTTGGGGATCAGATTTTGCGTTTTTCTAGTGTTTCGAAGACCTGCTGGTGCTATTTTTCCACTGACTTTGTCCATTGCCTAAAAATAACACGCTTTTTGTGTGTGACCCAGACTCCTCTTTACCCACATGGTTAACCTATGTTTGACGTGACTAGAGGGTTCTAATTACAATGGGTAAATGGGCTTCTGTGTTAACTGAGTTGGACTAAATTTGGTTTATTCTGAACGGGAGGCTCCTGGGATCCTTTAGGAGTTCATTGAAACTCATATTTTATTTTAATTTCAGTGCTGATTACAAGGCAAGTTGCATTCTGTGAGAGATGCTGATCTGAATTTTTCCCGAGTTACAACTCTGTGCTTGGTTTATCTGTTGCAGACTGCTTAGTTTAATTGCGTGCTTTTGACAGTTACCAGCCTTTCCACTCTGCTGTTCCTGTGTTTACTGTCACTGTTTGCTTTTGTGTGTTTTAGGCTGGAGAATTGGAAAAGGGGAAGGTTATGCAGACATGGAATATGCGATGATGGTATCAATGGGTGCAGTGCAGGCGGATACACCTGTAATTACTATTGTGCATGACTGCCAGGTAAGTTAAAATGTCCACTCTCAAGTGACAAATCAGGACTGCGTGATACTGAATAGTATGTCTGAAGAAGAGACTTGGAATGATGTTGGTGTAGCATCTTGCCTTTGTTTCCACTGTCATTGCCAGATTTTTCAGTGTTGCAAGACATCAGGAATGATGCGCAATTTTAGTAAATTTCTTTTTAATTATTTACCAAATCTCTTGTTCCTTGTAGGTGGTTGACATAGCAGAAGAGCTTCTTGGTGATCATGATTTAACTGTGGATTATATACTCACTCCAACAAGAACTATCAAGACTAATTGCAAACGACCGAAACCTCAGGGAATAATATGGCATAAGGCAAGTTACCTCTGCTAACAGTGGCTTACTGGTACTGCTATTCTGTTGTAAGTCCCCCATTTTTACATATAAACACATTTGTTGTATTAGAAATACTTGGAAAAGGAGCAAATGTGTTTGTCAGATGAAGCAAAAGAACAGCGTATGTGTTCAGCGTTTTTTAAGTGGTAATGGTGAGGAGGAGAAATATATTATTGAAGCTGAGGTTGCTGGCTCAAATGGATTGTAGGGTGAGAGGCACTGGAAACATGTTAGTGGATTTTGAAGATAGACATCGTTTCTTGTAGTCGTTTGTGGTATAATAGTCTGTGTAAGCTGAGGGGCTTCTGCACCTTATGTGTTTTATTCCTCAGTGCTCATTGAAATTGGCTCTGTTTGTTTTCTGGAGCCAGTACCACAGAGAGAGCTTTATGGCATTAGGCTGTGTGAATGGGTGGAATATGTGCTGCTCTGGTCGTGAAAGGAAAGCGTGACCTAGTGGCTGGTACGTTGCTGTTTACGTAGTGGATGTATGGGATTAACTTGCAAAGGATAACTGAATTTGTGGCTGGAGCTCATTTTCAAGTGGAGGAATAGTGACTTTATACTGCTTTAAATCATGAATCATTATTTATTGATAAATACTGTTTTATGGGTTTGCCCCCCCGCCCCCGCCTGGATTGTCAGAAACTTTAGCAGCTTCACAAATGGTTTCAGAAAAGCATTTAGTGAATTGTTTTACTGGAAGTTCATGCTGGGAAAACTTTTTCTTTGTCATTAGATTTTCATTCCTAAAATCATCCAGTTAGGGAGGAGACGCAATCACGCATGATTGAGTAACAGCAGGAACACTGAAATGAGGAATAGTATACCCATGGCTTGCAGAAACCACTGAGGAATTACTAGTGAATACTTCTAGGGAAATCAAGAGTTGTTTGTTAAGTGCTTGCCAACCAGCAAAAAGAGTTAAATTTGTTAAGGTAATGTAGCTACAACAAACAATTCTAGCCCCTACTATTTTTATTCCTATGGTGGGAGAGTATTTTACCCTGCCCGTGGTTGAGGATTTGAGGTTATAAATAAATAAATAAAAGCTCTGTCTGTACTAGTGCATTTTTTCCATTGAATTATTTTTGAATCATAATTTTTTTAGGATATTATTGAATGTAATTGTTTTGAAGGCCTACTCCTTGTGCTCCATCCATCTTGCCAACATACTTTCGATCACAGTCTGTCTTGGTGTCAGACTTCAATCTCAGTAAGTGGTCTTGCTAACATTTTTTTCTTTTTTTTTTTTTTTATTCTGTCTGATTCCCTTCAGCAGCAACATTTTTCAAAGGTCTGGGGAACACAGTCTCTTGCAGGGGCCACCAAATTTTTTGTGAAACTTTTACTGCTCATGAAAAGTCAGTCAGTCCCAAGCGATGTATCCAATTCAATGTTACCTTTGCATTTCTTTGCTTTTTAGAGAAAAAAGTCAAGATGAGTGTTATACTATACATCTCATAAACTAATGAAGTATTTGCCACAGTTCCTTTGTGCTTGTGTCTAAAGCCTGAGGAGATGCTTAGTAGAGTCGAATCTAAAGCTTGCGCTGCACTGACTTTAGCCAGTTTGCATGAGACAGTGAAATTTTTTTTCTATACTAATTTCTACATTAGTGGTGGTGTCTGAAAAATACAACTCTTGTTGAATTTTCTACAGCTTTCACTGAGAATGGAGCACATTACACAATTAAGCCTTTGAATATTTGAATATAGATTTAACACCTAAAACTGCTTTTGGCTGTTCTTCAGAACGTATGTTGATTAGATAAGAATATTGGAGAATACTGGCCAGAGGAGGGCTAATCATTACCTTTCTGTTGTTCTGGGACAAGAACAAAGTGTTGTGTCTATAAGAAGAAGAAAGAAGTTCACAGTTTTCTTTCACAGGGAGCTGAACCACTCGTAATATGTTTGGTTTGTGGTGGTAAGTGTATGATCGACTCTTGCACAGAGGGTCTTGGAGGTGGGAGGTCTACCTAATCGACAGGGTGTTAAAAATGCAGGATTTGATACAGGCTATTTAAGTGTTTGTCCTTTGACTTTTCCTGGCTGTTCCTACATCCTTTTCTCTACATCCTTTTCTCCTTCAAATCCTGGCTTTACTGGTGCATTCTTGTTCCTAGGGGCAAAACTAAATGAACCAGGAGGTAGTGAGTAAATAAATAACCCGCTTCTAAATACGGTGTTTTGGCAACAGAAGGTAGCTTAACTTTATTGTTAAGATGTGTGATGTGTAAAATACATTGCAGAAAAGTTTATCCTTCAGGAACATGGCTGGCTCAAGCCAAGACAATGATTTAAGAGCTTAAATTAAAGGTGTTTGCAAACATGGGATTACAGCTAAGCATTGTTGTAAAGGATGTGCTTTCCTGAAGCTGTTAGGATAAACAGCCATTAATACATACACTCTGTTTTCAGCTGGAAAGAGGTAAGAAGGTACTTTGCAGCAAACAAAATACATTGTCGTCAGGCTACATTTCTGTGCTCAAAGGCGTACTGCATTTTCCTGGAGTGCTTTTGTTGTGTGCCATGTAGGAAGGAAGTAGTGTGTCAGATATGGGGATGGGGTAAATAGGTGCTCCTCTGTGAGTTAGTGGTTCACTTCTTGGGGTAATTGGCATGACTTGCCCTCAGTTGTCTCCTTTCGGTTCTTCTCAGTGCAGAACTTCCAGCTGAGCTATTTCTTGCTGTCGAGGTAGTATGTTTTTCCAAACAGGAAGATATGAATTACTTGCTGTGATTTTTGTCACAGAAATGCTGATATAAACACTTCCAAGGAAGTGTAAGAGCTACAGTATTATTAATACCAAAGAAGCATTGTCAGTATCAGTGCTAGGCACCTTAGAAACACTTCTGAGTCCAAAGGTGGTACTGGAGTGTGTGTACGGGTAAGTTTTCTGCACCCGAGTTCAGGGTTTTGAGAAGTCAGTATGTGCTCTTGGAGGACAGCAAGAGCTGCTAAGAGCTGAGCACTCTGGAAAACTTTATTTGGATGCCAGTGGAGAATTATTTGGCTTCGTCTGTCTTGAAAATCTAACCCATTGTTTCTGGGAACTCTAAATTCATGAAACGACTTACTTTCTCATTTAGTATTTTGTATGGGTAGCTGTGATCTTTATCTGTGACACTGGCTATTATATTTGTCACAATTACAAAGTTATTTGTGCTGTGCTTATTTTAAATTGAAACTATACGGACCAATTAAAATATTTGGGGTCATGTAGAGGGAAATGAGAGTAGTTGGTGGGAAAAATCACTAGATTCTAGCAAGCATTTCCTTCTGTTTCTTTAATCATTCTTTTGTTGAGAATTTTACAGAAGTCAGAGAAGATTTCTCCCAAAATGAAATGAACTGGAGGGAATCCCTGGGTCTGATGTTGAGACAGTTTAGTATGCAGTGGCAGAGATGGAAACTATCTGACAGCAAACAGCTTTTGATTCGTGTCTGTGATAGAATATTTGGAAAGTAAAATGAGGTTGTTTTAAAGCTCAAAAAACTCACACAGTGAAGCGGGGAAAACCTTCAGCAGAGACACAGTGTTGCCATCAGAAGAAAATTGCTGTCAGTTTAGCCAAGGTTTGTTTTATTTTGTTTTTTGGAGGGATACCGTGAGCCGGGCACGCTTCCACGCATGGTTAAACGTCTCAACACCTTTCCAAATCTGACCCTTGCTGCAGAGTCCCTGGAATCAGTGGTTGCTGATGGATTCCAAATGTGGGTTGCATAAGTTTCTCCTGAGGGACGCTAGCAGACTTCATGGGCTGCCAGCTCCCAGAAATATGCCCTCGGATCGCGTGCACATATTTGGACATTTTGTGCAAATGAATGATAAAATGTTCGACTGTGCTGGCCCGTCCTAGCTGTCTTGGCTTTCTGCTTTAAGCCCCTGCGAGCTCAGTGCTCCTTGAAGCAAGCAACTGATGAAGGAGACAACGCGAGAAGTGGGCTCTGTCCTGGAGGCCTTTATGAGGAGTCTGGAGTGGGCCAAGATGAATCTTTCAAACACCTTCTGCCTACCAGCCTCAGTACTTGGAAGGGCTGGTGGATCTGCTGTGCTAAAGATTGTTTGATCCTGTTCACAGCCTTCCACAGCAGGGCAGCAGCATCTTGGCTCCGTCTTGAGCTGTGTGTTCCTGTATCAGTTGGTGTGTGCAGATGGGTAGCTATATGAAGCAGAATTAAATAGCAGACCTAGCACGCTCTCCAATCTATAGCTGTCCTTCCCTCATCTGCCATGCATCAGAACTGCGCCGCCTCTGCTGCCAGGGAAATGGAAGTGGTGTTTGGCTTGGCCTGTGCTGTATCAGGGGTCAGCATTACTCATTCTGTCAGAGAACAAACATATCTTTCATTTTCCCCAGCAAAATATTGAAAGTGGCTACATTCACTGTTCTGGAATAACAGAGGTTGAAGAGAGCCCCGATGTTCCAGCAGAGACGTTGCAGAAGTCCATCTGCCACTACGTTGTTTTGGGCCCAAACCAGGTGTTGTAAGAGTGGATGCTCAGGGTTAAGTGTTGGGACATTTGTATTGGCAGTCAGTATCCAAGACTGTTTTCTTCAGGTTTCTATCAGAAAGGGGCCACATTTCCCTTCTCAGCTCCTTTCCCATAGCCCGGTAATTGTGTGCCAGAAGAATTCATCTACCCTGCTGTCCTCTTTCCCCAAGGCTCTCCCAGCTATGGCAGGGAGTAGGCAGGATTGTTAAATGATTAATTGCCTTTGGTGGAGTTATTTTTAACCTGAATCACTTCGTTTACTGAGTTTATAGCACAGACCCACAAGCACTTCTATTGGCCAGCCCCAGAGGGCTGAAGTATGGAACTGGCCTGGGAATTGGTGGTGGTCAGGGGATAATAGGAAACTTCTTCAGCTGGCTTCACTGCCAAAGCCAATCATTTAGCTAAATCCCAACACTCAATACAAAGTTTACAAACATCAATAAACGGTTTGGCCTTGACTTTGTAGGGATGGGGGGAGCAAGGGAAGAAGCTTCCGCCGCTGGGTTTGCCCAGGTCTGCGTAACTGGATCAAGCAGACTTGGGGTGGAACCCAAGTCCCCTGCATCCCGGCTTAGCCTAAAGCAGTAGGCAAGGCTAGGGAGGAGTGACCAGCCGGCACAGGACCAAGAAACGTGCAGCTTGTTTGAAAGAGAGGAGGAATATCTTTGGCCTCTCTCCACATGGAAATAAATCATTGCAATCCTCCACAGCTCACAAGACAAAAGAAACTTTTTGCATGATCGTAATTAGCAACACATTGTACTACCACAGAGTTCTTTTGTTTGCTGTTTTGCAACAGAGCAGAGCAAGCTTTTTCCTCTCCTCTGCCACCCACTGCCCCCTTTGCCCTTTTGGCTCTCACCCCGGGCGCCCCAAAAAAGGTAGAGAATTGGTTTGTTGAATTGAAACTCTGAAATCCCAAACTGAGTTTCTGCCTTTCCTTTACATAAAAGTGGGGAAAAATAGGGAAGGATTTGAAAGCTTTGGCTCAGCTGAAAGATTCTCCTAGAACCCAGGGAAAACAGCCTTTAAGGTAAATCCCCTGTCTCTGTTTCATGGCAGAAGGACGTCAGTTGACAGTGTCAGAACTTGTCTAATGTAGGTTTTTTACAGAATGTTTTCTATTACAAACAAATCCGAGTGTCAAATCAACTGCCGTTGTTGCTTTGGTACTGTTACCTCTACAGAGGGCGGAATTTAAGGTAATGATAGGTTTGCCTTGTGGGGTGGTGTTTGATGAGCAGAGCTTCAGCTTTTATAGAAAACTAGTTTGTAGCCCTCATGAAGACATACATGCTGTTGTAATTTCATGTTCCCGAGTTTGCAGGGAGCCTGAACCGATAGCTCAAAGAGCTCCAGTCAGCTGCCAAAAACTACTGGTCACTCTAGTGAGAGGAGAGGCCACGGTGAAGCCTGGCCAGTTGAAGTCTCTTGGAGAGTATGCTGGCCCTTGGATTATCTAACTCCTCTCCTCAATTTGTCCTTGAAAGACTGGGAGTTCGAGATCATCCTCTCGGTGCCTGTCTCTTTGATTCCCTTAAACTGCGAAGTGGTGAGGCTTTGCCCTTGGTAGCTTTGATCTCTCTAACTAAACATCCAGTCCATGCCTTGGGAGCTGAGATTAATTTCAGGGTGAAAGAAACTGTATGTACACTTGGTAATAGGTTGAGGTTGTGCTTTGGGCTCAGGAGTGATTAGTTGCATGAGAATAGAAAAATGTTTTTCCTGTTTGGTTTAATTAGCATAGAGCTTACATTTCACATAGAAATTTGACAGAGGACAACAAATGTTCCTAATTGTTGGCCAGTAAAAACAAAGTAAGATGGCTTCAGCCATTGGTTTGATGTTGTTATCGCCCAGGGAAAGGGGAGTTTGCTGTCAAACACAACAGTCTAAATTCTTGGCTGAGAAAAACAAATCAGTCCAAGAATCCACAGAGCAATAACTCTTCAAAATCTGAAAATGGCATGTACCTTTCAGAGTGCGGAGGCTCCCAGAGCCCCAGAGGAAGTCCTTGCCTCTCTGTACCGGCTGCCAGATTGGGCCAGATTTGTTCAGAAATTGTTCTCGGTCACAAAGTTTGCTTGTTTAAAGGGCCTGATCCCATAACACCTTGACTCTGGGTCTGCCGTGTGGCAGAATGGAGGTGGCCTCTGCCCATACTGGTTAGTCCTGTTCCGCCGTTTGTTGTACTAACAAGATAGAGCTAGGACAGGCTTTCTGTAAATTATATTTTTATTTAGTTTTGCCTGAAATCAAACTTGCTTCTTTGCTCCTCAGAAGAGGAGCCCTGGGAACATTTAAGACACTTCTGTTGACTGTCTTTCCTGCTACCTAAACCAAATGTTGCCTGCACCCTGTCTTTGATTTTACTCAAGTCACTTCAGAGCTGGGCTGCTCTCCCTAGAGATCTGTAAATTTTAGACTTTATGTGGTGCAGCCAGATCCAAACTCACTCTGACTATAATTGTAGAACCAGGAATTCAGGGGCTCTGAGATGAGAGAGATCTGAGGTGGGAGATCTGCAGGCATGTTCTAGCCAGGATATATGCTGGTGCCAGTCCAGTACAGCCCGCTGAGAAGTAGCGGCTCGTAAGCTTGGGTGCAGTACCCTGCTAGAGTGGCTTGCTCACGCTGTGTGGGCTACTAGCTTGGGTCTCTGCTAGCTCAGGCATCGCTTCCCTAGGCTCTGTTTTGCTCCCTAAATTTAAGAATTGGATCTTGTGTTGATGGATGTTCTGCTTGTCCAGCAGCCAAGTACGAATTATTCCTCCTTCCAACTGCAGTCTGCAAGCCAAGAGCTAGACCACATTAGCTAGGGAACCACTGTGTTTCCTGCCAGTCACTGAGTGCAGCCTGGGGCATCTCATGCCTGAGATGGATAGGGTTCAGCTGTTGAGAGGAAGAGCCCTTCCAGAAAAGCTGCTTATGAACTGGGGATGGACAGAGGGCTACAGGGTTCACAGTTTTGAAGTATAGTGTCCGGGCGCTCTTCCGTTCGCTGATCCAACCCAGCGGACTGGTGTGGGATCTGATGAGTAGCTGCGGGTGGTGTGTGAGGTCAGATGACAAGAGGAAGGTTGTGGTGATGTGCCACAGCCAGAGAACGTGCCTCCAGCTGGGCCCACACTCGTAGGAGCCCCGCTACAAGGCACGCTCCCCGGCTGCAAACTTAACACCATCGGCCCTCCCCATTGTATGACCCAGCCTACGGGATATCCTGTTTTGGGGGAAAAGAGCGCAAGGAGGTCTGCAGAATGAAAGTGTCTGATGAATTGTAGGCATGTAAGATTCTGCCAGAGCAGGAGCACAGGCCCTGGGTCAAAGCAAATATTAAGGGATAACAATGAGAATGCGAATCTGAAAGCACCCTGATAAATAGATGTCAAAATCGAATAGTTCTGAGTTTGGTTTTGGTTTTCCTGCTGGATCTACATTGTGCTGCTTGCTTAAAGAGTAACTAATGTTTATTTTTGTCCTGTAGTGTGTATTTAGGGAGCAACGTCAGAATCGGGCCAGCAATTAGTAACATTTTGAATGCTCTGGCACTCTGAATGGTAGCAGTATAATAAGGTTCCTCTCTTTTTATGGCACAAATGGGTCCTGATGGTCTTCTCCTTTTTCTGGAAGGAGAGAAATCTCATAATTGTATCTGTCTTACTCCTTTTTAGGTCAGCTATGAGATGCTGGAAAAAATCCCCATCCTAAAGAGCCTTCGATACAGAGAGAAGCAGACTGGCAAGGATGTTACCCTCCAAGATGAACATTCAGACTTGGCAAATGCCAGCGCACCAGCAGCGTTAAATGAGAAGGCGATGGCTGAAAATACAAGACCGCAGGCTGCAATGGGCTCGGCTCAAATAGGACGGCATTATGTTGAAAGTGATTCTTTAAGTCCCAGATTAGAGGGATCTGGCATGATTACTACTGTGTATGTGGGGAACATACCTCCCAGTGTAAGAGTGAGCGAACTGAAATGTGCTTTAAGGGAATTCCGTGCAACTCCTTTACGACTGAATTGGCAAGGAGCGCAGCGCAGGGCTTTTCTCGATTACAAGGATAAAGCAACCGCAGAGAGTACTGTATCCTCTTTGAGAGGCTTGAGCCTCGGGGGTAATACTTTGCAAGTTGAGCTGGCCAAGAATCAGAGAAACAAAGGGCAAGTAGAAATCAATAGTCAGAAATGAATATGAATAGAAGAAAAAAAAAATAGGCGTGTTTTCATTGTTTTGTGAGAAGCCAACCTAAGTTTTCAAGGATATTAGTATATCCTCTGATTTCTGCAGGCTAAACAACAAAGTGCAAAGCCAGCTTTCCAAACAAATGAGGCATACATCTCACAGCTGACTTGCCTGCCTCATTCCTGCAGTTGTACATGCAAAGTGTATTTGTCGAGACAGATGACAGGGGCCATTTCTCTAAACGGTTATCCACAAAGTGCCCACGCTCTGCGTATTTGTTTTTCGTTGGCTGGGGGTTGATTTGCTGTTCAGTGTCTGCATTTGTTAGGCCTGGGTCAAAAACCTGCCCCTTGGTAGCTGTGTGCAGCCACGTGTAGCGAGGTGGTTATGTTCTGTCATCTAAAGGTTGTACCTGCAAATTTGTACTCATGAGCTTAAAAGCCAGCTGCAGAAAATCTGTCTTAAGGGTTACGATTCTGTTTACTAAAAAATGGGCTTCGCCTGTTGGGAGTTTTCAGCGTATTTTTCATAAAAATGGCTGGGGGGAGAGATTTTCCTTTTTGTGCTCTTGAAGAACAGCTGTGGAAACACTGGCTCAGCCACTGAGTTCTAGCAATAGCTATTAACATCAGGTGGAAGAGATGGTAGCCCCCTTTCTCAGCTTTTTGTTGTTAATTGAGCCCTTTGTAAACCTTGTATTTCTTATTGCAGTCTGGCAGAGGAAAGTGAGGACCAGTTTTCTCCTTTGCTTTTCCCCAAAACACTTCAGCTGCCTTTTTCATGGATGCAGATAATTACAAAAGAGATGCTTTTCCTTATTATCTTGTCTCTTATAATTTGGTGTGATTCCATTGCCTCCGTGAAATTACATTAGTATTAATCGTTGTAGTGGAAATGAAAAGCAGACGGACCAGGGTCAAAACCTGTGGGTGCCTAGTCTGGTACGGACTTGTCTGAAAAGTTACTGGAGATGGTGACAAAGCCTGTTCCTGCTGTGCCTTTGCCACCACCAGTGTGGTGTGGTCTTCCTGCACCCACAACATCAGACAGTGGTGAGGGTTAGACAGCAGCACTGGCAACGTTTCATTCTGAAAGTGCTATCAAGTACTAGCTTGAACAGCAAGATTTGCACATACATGAACATTCACTTACGGCGTAAAGGAGAATGATAATTTATGTGGTATGGCTTTTATTACTTTTTTTTTTTCCCCTCCGGTTTCCTATTCCTGAAAAACAAGTTGAATTTTGGCTGAACCATCCTTTCTAAACAGAAGCACTTTTGCCATTGATGCTGGGCACATAGTCAAAGTAAGCATCTAAATGGCTATTTTTTTTAAGTGTGAGTTGGAAACTTTTTTTTAGCCAGAGGGTACTGTTAAGTGTATTTTAAGCACGTTATTATACCTCAAGGGTCAGACATTTCGTACAGTGTTAAATAAAAAGTTCTCATCGTTATCATGTACTCTGTGCAGAGGGGCTCAAGGAAAGCATTGCTTCAGCTTCTCGTAAGGTCAACAAAGGAAAGGCTTCTGAAAGAAAAAGTAGTGCTGTGCTCTAAAATGCTCTCTTCTTCTCCAGCTCGAAATTATTTTCAGTATCACTTAGTCTGCATTAAAACATAAGCACAGCAGAGTCCTCTGCATCTTGTTTCACTAGTTGTGCACTTCAAGGCTAAGAGTCAGGGGTTATGTTACTACTTAAACATACTCATTACATCATGAGCTTAGAAAGCAGAGGAAATAAAAGCAAAAAAATAATTATACATCACTGCCTTCCCCTTCCAAATGATGGCAAATTAAGTAACATGATGATTTGATGTTCTTTTTGACTCCTACAATACGGCTTGCTTTGGTGAAGATGCCCGGCTGACCTTAGCAGTTAAAAAGCAGTTATTCTGCCAATGAAAACTTCCAGCATTTCAAACTTCCCCTGTTGCATTACAGATTAAACCAGCCTTCTCTGGTCAAATTTGCCAAATCCTCTACCTTATTTCTTTTCTTAAGATCTGAAATTTCAGTGCAGATCTGTTTACATGTTATGGGATACATAAACATGTTCTGTTTGCTCGCTTTGCTCTCAGCACTGTGTGCAGTCGGTGGCCAGTTCTGTTTGGCCAAACATGTCTAGATGGTTTTCTCTTTGCAGTTGTGGTTGTGCGTGTAACCCGCAGGGTGAGCTGTGCTAGGGCTGTATCTGAGTGGGCAGATCCCTGCGGTTCTCTGCCAGCCTGGCACTTTTTTCTGTCTTGTATTGTGAGGCCGCGTTTCACAGTACTACCTAGTACCTTGTTACTTTTCCAATAGGCAATTAGCAGTCCAAACCATGCTACGGAGAAGATAATAACTAGGCAGAGGTATGTAACTGTAGTTAGGCTCAGACAAGAAAAATAATTACTATAAGCTTAAGCTAATGGACCATTCATTAGTGTTTTGAATGGACTGAAATAATGATGTTGATGCTATGATAATTGTTTTTCCAACTTAACGCAGTCATTTTTGATCCAGGTTGTTAATACACGGCAAGGTCTTTTGGGCCTTGCCATCTTAAAGTCATTAAAGTGTGTTTTTTAGTTCAAGGTAGCAGCTGCTCTAGGTCAGAGTTTGGCAGCCTGTTGCAAGCCCATCTTCGCCAGCGAATCGGCAGCAACTGAAGTGCAGGTACAAGTTCATTTCTGTCATCTCTGCTTCAAGAGCAACAACCTGCAGGGAAGGAATTAGTACAGGCAGCTGTTGAATAAATAGAGCCTGAAGCTGCAGAAGGCTCACCAGGGTTCAGGCTTCTGCAGAGGTTCAGTAGTACGGCGTTACACGGAGGCAAACCAGGAGTCCTCAGAAATCAGCTTTGGGTTGCTATAGGATTCCCACAGGAAAAACAAGAGCTTGAGTACTTACATGCTGCAAAAAAGCAGCATGACTTGCAGCAAAGCTGTTCTAGAAGCTTACCTGTGAGGAGGAGGGTATAGCTGATAACGTTCTGAAATGTGTCACGTACCAGCGCAGCAGGAGTTTGAGCCTGTGCGCTCTGAAGTCGATGCAATTTCTGTCTTGGATGGTGAGGGAAGCAGTGATGAGGATGGGACCCTTTCTGCTGCTTGGGAAGTTGCTCGTCTTCAGCTAAAAGACATTTCAATGCAAGTTGCTAAACTGCTATTTATTTACATAATGCAAGACTGCCCAAGGCACACGCCTACGTGGCTTTCTGGTGTCTTTAGCTGTATGATGTGGATTTTTTTCTTGTGGGCTGACCAAGTTCCTACTTGAGGAAACAGCAGATTTTGAAGAAAAAGTGAATGGGGCAGCCTGCATCTCTTAGATCTATTGTTTCAGGCTCTCTGCACGCTCAGGAAGACATCGGTTACACGAGTCACTTCTGACTTTTCTCTAAATCCACAAAGCTCTGAAATGCAATACGTTTTAGGGAATCCTTGGACTCTGATCTCATAATGAAACTTGGGGAACTGAAGCCTGCTTGTGTTTTACTTTGACCCGGACCAAGACTATGCAAGACATTTTACTGACAATCAAACCATAAAGTCCACACCCTGAAGAATTTACTGTCTGAATTAGCAGACTTTAAAGGTGAGAACCTTTACTCGAGCAGTAATTCTTAATCTTGTACCTGTTGCAGTTGTGGCCCTGCTGTTAGCATGTAGGTTGAACCAGGCTACGTCTGCGTCGCTGTGCCTCATCTCGGGTGGATACCGACCCTTACAGCCCCTTTACCGCTGTGACTGAAGCACCGGTCTAGGGCTTCAGAGGCCTCAATGCTTCAAGCCAGGTCTCTGTAATGGCCTTTCTGTGACCGCCCATGCCTGGAGCAATGGCGAGAAGGTATCTTTAAGCACTTTACCCCCCCCCCCCCCCCCCTCCCCCCCCCCCGCCCCCGCCTCTTCCTCTAAGGACAGTGGGACATCCTTGCTTCTTAAGACTCATGTTAAAAACATCCCCAGTGACAAAGAGGTGCAGGGATGCTGGAGAAAAGTCAAACGCTGGTGATAGATGGGTAGTCTGCTTTTAATAGGAAATGAAGTGATCCCTAACACAGCCTTGATTTTAGTTCACTTGCAGCAGTGGAGGAGCCTGCGTTTCACTGCTGTGTGATGAGAAGAAAAGTTCAGCAGTACAATGGGAAATACTTTACTGAGCCAACTTTGTTCAGAAGTAATTAAAAATGAGGTCTTTCTATTCTCTGCGCAGCCTGATGTCCTCGCTTGTCATGTGGTTCAGTGCATTCTTTCCAGCTCCTTTCATGGCACAAACAAGTTAGGATGTTGTTATTGCACGCCCCTCTTTTTAAGGGTTCAAGGGGGAAAGATGCTGAACAGCTCCGGAGGCTGGTCGGTGTCAGCAAACCCAGCTCCACTCTCGTGGCAGCTGGGAGGGCGTGGGATCCAGCAGCGACCACCCTAGGTGTTACATCATGGCCCTGAGCTTCCCAGAGCGATTCTGCCCCTCTTCCTATCCTCGCTTGTGGGAGAGGTGCGAAGAGAAAACGGTATCAGATGAATGGAGCCTCTACCAGATCCATTAGGCTCGAGAACATGGTCACTTCGGAGGGGGATTTTCTTTTGTTGAATGATACTAGTCGCAGCGTGGTGTGTGGCACAGAGCAGCGAGGCAACATTGTAATCCGCTAACAATAAAAGCGAGGTGGCTGACTGCCACTTAGTGCTGAAAACTATACAATCATTAGGGTTTTCCTTCAGACAGCTATGTCCATGCATTTCCTGGAACAAGGACAAGGCCACACAGCTTCAATCCACCGAAGACAACAGTGAGTAAACAAGCCATGTTGCTGTGTAGCCTTCTCTGAGTGACAAGAGTCAGAGATCGTTTGTTTCCATGGAGAGAAAAAGGAAAAAAAAAAAAAAAATCTCACCATCAGGAGGGGAAGAGAGTAAAGCCCTATCCTGGGTCCCACAGCCAGGTCCTCATCGAGCCCTCCAGCATCTCCATGCACATCAGTCCCTGGTCCCCTCCCAGAAAGCAGCCTTTAAGGACAGAGGCTTTAGCCCATTATCTTTGGAGACCAATAAAATATCTCAGAAAAGTGATGGTTAAATACTGTCTTCAAGTCATGAAGTCATGTCTTCCTTTTTTATTATTTCATCATCTTCTACTGCTCCAAAGGGAGAAACAAATGGGTTTTAGGGGAGTGTT